CTGGAAAGCAGCGCTGTGGAAAGAGAGCTGGGGGTTGATGGCAAGTGGAACATGAGCCAGCAGTGCCCTGGCAGCCAGGAGGGCCAACCCTGCCCTGGAGGACATCAGACACAGCATGGCCAGCTGGGCAAGGGAGGGGATTGTCCTGCTCTGCTCTGAGCTGGGGTGGCCTCACCTCCAGTGCTGTGGGCAGTTTTGGGTGCCACAATATAATAAAGGCATTAAACTACTAGGGAGTGTCTAAATGAGGGCAACCAAAGATGGTGAAGTGTCCTGAGGGGAAGCTGTATGAGAAGCAGTTGAGGTCACTTGGTCTGTTCAGCCTGGAGAAGACAGAGGGAAGACCTTACTGCAGTCTTCAACATCCTTGTGAGGGGATCTCTGGTGAGCAGTAATAGGACCTGAAGGAATGGCCTGAAGCTGTGTCAGGGAAGATTTAGGTTGGGTATTAGAAAAAGGTTCTTCCCCCAGAGGGTGGCTGGGCACTGGCACAGGTTTCCCAGGGAAGTTGTCACAGCACCAGCCTGACGGAGTTCAAGAGGACTTGGACAATGCTCTCAGGCACGTGATGTGACTTTGCGGATGGTCCTGGGCAGGGCCTTGGTGATCCTTGTGGGTCCCTTCTAATTCAGCATAGTCAGTGATTTAGCCTGCCCCAGGGGAGGTTGTGGTAAAAACTCACTCAGATGTGCCTAAGTCCTACACACTTCCCTCTCCTTTCCCCAGCTTTCTGGTTTTACCATTATACTGAAACAGCAACCATCATTTTAGACATTTGTAATAGTCACAGGCAACAAAAATCTTCATCCAAAACTTTTATTGAAAGATTTATCCAAAACTTTATCCAAAACTTTATCCAAAACTTCTACTCTCCACCAGGGATTGCTCAAGGTTTGGTTTGCAAGCAGTGCTCTGACTTAATTTCTGCTTAAAATAGACTTTGTACATTGTCCACTGAAAAACAACAAAGGGAAAGAAATACCTGTCAGAAGATCACTTTGGTGTAGGACATGAAAATGTATAAACCAGCAAGCTGTGTTCTTGGCTCTCTGCTTTCCCCCTACTTCCCTTCTTAGCAAGAGGAAAGGCAAGAGTGGTACCTTCAGGTCACATCCAACACATCAGTCCTTTTTAAATATGAGGACCTGATCATCGTTTGACTGGTGAGATGTTGCCAGGTACTGGCAGCATAAAGACATAATGATATTGCACTGTAAATTCAAACCATGTTTCTCTTCTCCAAGCTGGACCGCAGGTCACAAAGATCACTGGGTACAGCGGTGCAGCAGTTTGTATTTACTAGCTGGTAATAACACAATCTGGACCACAGTGTGAGCTTATTTACATGGGTGTCAGCCCAGAGTAGCCTCTTGGTGCCACAGGATTTATACAAGATTTACACCCTTGCAGCCAAGAGCAGAATTTGGCCCTAAATTATGGTGCAGTTAAAGACCTCATGTTTCTGAGTTGTGGAGCATTGTTTACACCCACATGAAACAGGTCGTAAAATGCCATTGCACTGATTTGTTGGAGTGTTAGGCTCAATTTGCTCAGGTGTAAATAACTACCCGGTGGGTGGCATAATATTTGCATCCTGTAGCTTAAGGCGTTGCTGTCTGCTGCAAATCAGTCAGGCTTCGGGCTCCAGTATCCTCCTGGGAGCAGGATGGATCTTCTGGCCTGGAGAAAGTGATGCAATAGCAGATTGCTAATGAGTGGGAGTTCATGGGGCGTGACAAACATAGAATAAAATTGGAATATCTTGTGTATACTTTCATTCTTTTTTTGCAGCTGAAATCTCGTGTCCTGATGACTCCTTTAGCAATCTCTCCACCAAGAAGCACGCCGGAGCCGGATATTAGTTCAATCCCCCAGGATGCAGCTACGGTACCCAACTCGGACACCCCACAGGCTCTCACAGGTACTCAGCCTCAAGTGCTCCTTGACCAAGGGGTGAGCAGGAGCCACGGGCTCACAGCCAGATGTCACAGCCAGATGCTGGGCTTTCCAAAACAGGGGGAGCTCATGAAAATGGGGTGTTTGCAGATTAGTCTAACTACCAGTGGCAAAGAGCAGAGTTATCCTGTAAGATTGTATTTTGACTGCTGTGTGTCAAGTTTAGTGGAGATGTCAGTTCTATTCCTCTTGAAATGTGAACATCAAAAATCCATGAATGCTCTATTTTATACCTAACATTTTTCACTCCATCTAATATGTTGCAATGACCGACCTAAATCCCTGTGTGAGCATGAAGCATCTGTTACAGTTTGGGGAGAACGGAGGAGCCATGGTCTGACCATAGGCAGGGCTACCAGCATAAATACCCCAATGCCTTATCACAGCAGCAGGCGTGGTCATTTCTGAATGTAGTCACAAAACACAGCCTTACTCTTTCTTTTTGCTTATATTACCACAAGTAACATAGGTCAAGGCTTTTAAACTGATGTAAATGAGAAGAAAATCAACAAGACAGCTGATTTACCCTGAGATTTCAGCAGAGAAATGGATTAGATAACACTAGAATCTAAGCACAACATATAAATCCCATTATTTCTTAGCTGGGATGCACAGAGGAGAAGTTTTCCATCTGCTCTGGTGGCAGAATGACACTAAACTGACAATGGCAATAATGTATTTTATTCTCGTTTATCCCTTCACACGCAAAGTCTGCAAAGCACTTGGCAAACACCAGGTGAGAGGATGGAAGTGCCCTGAGAGGTGTCCCCAGGGCTGGTTTTGGAGCAGGACAGGGAGGCACAGTCCACCAGCCCTGCCAGATCACAAGGGTGGCTGCAAAGGCAGGGGCTCCGTGGTCATTTCAGGCTCAGTGGTTGCAGTGCCCTGCACCTCTGTCTGCCCATCCTCATACCACTGGCACCTCTCCTCCCAGCATCCTCCCAACAGTGCCTGCAGGTTCCCACCAGAGCAGGGCTGGCAGGAGATGAAGGGAAGCTCAAGTCAGCTTTTACCTCCCTCTCAGTTTCAAAAGGACTGTAGGGACCCCGGCTCTGCAGTGGGGGGCTCAGCACATTGCCTGCAAGCTGCAGAGTGCCTCCCCCAGCTGAGCCCTGACAAAACCAGTGGATTGTCACGCAGAAGCCACGTTCTGAAGATTTGTCAAGGCACTCTGGGAAGTCTGAACCCTGACATTCCCCTGCAATTCCTGCATGCTGCTGCTGTATTTTCAGTGCACTGTCCCTTTGTTTATTTGGCACTTGGAAGGTGTGAAGTGGTATTATGATAAATATGATTTCTATTACCCTCCTGTTTACCCAGGATGTAGTGCTTGAGCCCCTTCTGCTGGTCCCTGCGAGATGGGGGAGCAGAGTGCACTCTGACAGTTGCGCTAGATTTTCATTATGGTGATGCAAACAGTAAATTATTTCCATCTTTACACAGCTGTCATCATGTCCTCCACTCTGCTTGATGGGGGTTTTTTGTCACATATCTGATTTCTGTCAGAAGATAATGTTATATTGTTTGAGAGATGACAGCTCAAGCACACTCAGCCAGCTATTATAATATGTCTCACTTTAGCCTGGCTCTGGGCTGTGTCTTAGTCGCCCTTAGTTACCGCACTGCTATCCCTGCTCCCCCCGAGATGCAGTTAGCCTCAGCCAAGCTTAAAATAAGTTCATGGTAGTGAGGAGAACACTCATTTTTTTGGCTATTGCTGGCAGGCCTGATGGCATGTAGAAAAACTGACTTTGCACCTTATGAGAGGAGGCATGCTGTGCCTGGCTTGGCTGTGGAGAGGCTGGGGCAGACTCCCTCACAGCCCCTGTGTGGCACAGTCATGTTGTTGCAGTCCCAAAATGTGCACTGCACACCATGTAGAGTTTCCCTCAACTTGATGCAGTTTGTAGAGTGTTAGGTTGGACACAGAGGGTTAGGAAGCTCCCAAAGACCAGATTCTCTGCCATGGCGCTGTGCAGCATAACCCTTCAGAAATTACGGCTGCATTAGAGTCAGAAGATGCAAGGATCCAAAGCCTTTCCAAAAGTCACCCCAGAGCAGTGCTTCTCACAGTGTCTCTCAATGAACCAGTCTAAAAACAGAGGAAAAAAAAGCCAACAACCTGAAAACACAGCTCAGGCTGGCATTCCCTTCTTGCTCTGAAGTCACCACTGGTAGTCCTAGCACATGTTTCTGGTTACAAGTTGCATGGAGAAGGTAGACTCAAGAGAGCAGACCCCAGGCACAAGGAGGAACTTTTTCAGATGTGTGTAGCTTATCCTATTCTGTGACACTGAGCTAGACCTAAACTCTGCTTGTTTTGCTCTGGCAATGGGTCATTAGCACAAGGAAGTCTGTCTCTGCCATCACAAATGGCAAGAGTTCGCCAGTGAAGGAAGAACTTGGGGAATGAATAGAAATGTAGAATGTCAGCATTTCCTAGGATGTTCTCAGGACTGTTTTGTAATAATCTTGTTGGGATTTTATGTCTGCAGTCTGCATTTATGTCAACAAACAAGCAAACCTGGGGCCATACCTTGACAGAAAGAAGGTGCAGCAGCTGCCAGAGCACTTTGGCCCGGAGCGGCCGTCGGCAGCTCTGCAGCAAGCAGTGCAAGCCTGCATCGACTGTGCAATCCAGCAAAAGGTGGTCTTCTCCCTCATCAGGCAGGGCTATGGAGGCGAGATGGTGTCAGGTAAAGCATCTTTGTAAGGGGTTTGTGGCCATTAGGAGGCGCTTGAAGCGTTAAGTGTCCCTCAATCCTCACTGCCCTGGATGTCCTGGTCCCATGAGTGGGATGGCAACCAGCTTCGAATATCCCTTATGCCTTTGTAAAATGAGCTGCTGCAGGAATCACCTTGGTGTCAGATGAAAGAATGTTGGTAAGGGGTATTGCAGTGGCGATTCAGGTGAGGAACATGCACTCCAGAGTCTGCCTCTCACCACTCTTTGGAGCAGTGCTGAGGCCAGGGCTGAGAGATGTTTTCATGCAGCTGTTCAAGAATGGGCAGCAGTGCCAGCCCACTTCATGACACACATTGCCACCACAAGTACCTATGCATGCCTCTTGTAATGAGGCTGGAAAAACTCTGGAACAGGTTGCCCAGAGAGGTGGTGGATGCCCCAAACTCAGATATACCCAAGGTCAGGTTGGACGGGCTTTGGAGCAATCTGAGCTAGCTGAAGATGTCTCTAGTCATTGCAGGAGGGTTGGACTAAGTAACCTGTAATGGTCCCTTCCAGCCAAAATCTCTCTATAACTCTATGATTCTGTGTTTCTCAAAAGGACAACTTTCATGGAGTTTAGCTGTCGGTGTGTACCCCACCTGCAGCTCATGAGCCAAACCTGCTCTCCACCACAGGAATTGCAAAAGTCCCATGGCAATTCCTCATGCAGCAGGACTGCTCACAGTCTACACAAATATATCAGAGAGAATCAAAGACCAAGGGGAACTTCCCAGCAGCTCCTCACCTTCCCACAGTGGCACTTCTTGCTGTGCCTTGATGAACCTCCCATGTCCCACGGTGAATCCCCCGGCCTGGTTCTCAGCGTGAATGTGAACTGTTCTTCTATCACAGCAAGAGTTTTGTGTCACAACATTCTTTTGGCATATGGGGATGCGGTGGGAATGAAACAATGGTGGGAATATGGGAACAGCACTCTCCAATGAGCTGCTGCAGATGAGTCAGGCATGAACACAAAGCTGAGGATTTCAAGTCCAATCAGTTTTGCAGGGACTGCAGATGCTCAGCTGTGCCACTGGGACCTTCTTGTGTGGGAGCCCAAACTCTGGCCCTCTGTGCAGCATATAAATCCTGCTTCTTCCCTCTCCTCAAGCTCTCTGTAATCACAGGTGTGCCTTCCCTAAGGGACACCAGAAATACTCTGAGAATGATCCAGACTTGTTCACAGAAACACAAGACTGAAGCAATTCAGTGCAAAACCTCACTTTTGCCTAGTTCTGCGCTGCATATATGATTTTCATTGCAATCAGGAGAGTCATATTATGCACCAAGCCTGCCAAACTCCTTGGTCTCAGTTCCTCTGAGCTGGCTCAGCTTCAGCTTCTCCTGAACTAAAAGCACCTGGTCAACATTTCTCCCAATTTCATGCTTCTTCTAGTCATCAAAGAGGGGTGAATGGCCTCCTAGTCGTGGCATGGCTCTGCAATTGCATCTTACCCCCAGCAGTGCAGAGGTTTGTCAGGGGCTTTCCAATCCTCCCATGGCTTGGCTCACAGATGTTCAACCAGCTGTGGAGCATGATCCCTCACAGCAACTTACGCCAACAGGAAATCTCTGAAGTTATCCCCAAAATTATAAGTCTAATGTTGCATTTTTTTCTTGTTAGTAGTGATGGGAGACTTCCCAATATGTCCCCTGACAAGTTTACCAGGAATTTTATTTGCTCTGTTCTTACCCTTAAATGTATTTCTAAGAGAGCCACCCTCATCCTTCTAGGCTGAAATACATAGTTCCTTTCAGGTAAGGAAGATCACCGAATCAGTGAAAGGAGTGCAGGTGTCTTGCCACAGTCCCACACAGCAGGATGGTGGTGGCTGCAGTGCCACAGGGAAAATTTCTGTTCCCCAAACATCAATGCAGTCTGCCTGTGCACTTGTGCAAGTGTGAATTCACCCTTCTTCAGCCTGTATGACCAGAATGATGCCCATCAATCCATCTCAGGTTTCTCCAGAACTTTGAATAGTGGCTTTAACAATCCATTTTCTCTCCTGGAAATGTTTTGTTCCACACCTTCTGGAAATACATCTGAGTTTTTCATGACTGTGTCACCTTGCTGTTTTATGTGGGTTATTTTGAGCCTCTTCAAAGAGTTATGGATTTCTGCTTCTTTTCCAGATTTTTTTTCCACTCATTTTTACTATTACAGAAAACAAAATCAGTTGATCCTTTCTGTGCAATCTCCCAGTCATCTTCTCCATTGATGATGTCTGCCAGCCTACAGCATTCACAAAATCTTCTTGTGCCAGCACAGACTGCTGCTGGTTTCTCTCTGGGACTTGGGGTCTCCTGCCAGCAGACCCTGTTGTCATTTCTTGACCCACCTCTTGTATGCAATCATTTTCAATTTAATGAAAGATTTATCATACTTTACTGAATTCTGGATAGACCACAACTGCCAACATTCCCTTGCCTATAAATGCAGTTAACTCAGTAAATAAAGATCAGTGATGAAGCTGTTACCTCTCTCTTCAGTACAGTCCTGGTACCTTTCATTCATTCACCATTCCTTTAATTCTTATCTCTCCATTATATTTTAAAACCCTGGGTACTGCTGAAGTCAGCCTAACAGCCCATCACTATTGGTGATCACTGCAGATCACTTTCTTTCCCCTTCCTTAGACCAGGGTATTATAATTGCCTCCTTCTAATCACACAATACAATTTTCAGATGGATGCATATATTAGAAAACCTTGCACTGCTGGCCATGCCAGTCAGCATCTTTCAGCTCTCCAGGGGGAAGGTGATCTGGGTCACACAAACTCAGCTCCTTAAGCTTCTCCAGTTGTGTGCCTCAGGCAGCGTAATTTTGCAAAATATTTTAAGACATGCAAATACCCGAGTAAAATTTCTTCCCCTGCTCTCCTTCTCTCTTCTGCCATGCATCCACAGGTATTGAATTGCTCCTGTTTTGCTTTCCAGTTTCAGCTTCTTTTGAGGGCAAGCAGCATCTCCAGAACCTGCTGGTAGTGAACAGCATCGGGTATGTCCTGCGCTTCCTGAAGAAGCTGTGTCGCAGCCTCCTGTGCGACAATCTCTTCAGCAACCAGCCTTTCCAGCCGTACAGCGCCGTGACGGACAGCCCGGAGGGCTATGAGAACACACGGATGGAGGCAGGTAGGCTGCGTGACCACCTTGAGCTCAAGGTTTCACAGAGCTGGAGAAATGACTGTCTTTTTCTTGGTGCTGTGCTCTGTGTGATAGGGAGCCATACAGGCTCCTCTGTGGGGCCCTTCCAGAGGGAGGCAGTGAGCTTATTCGAGTTATTTTCCCTGTGGCTCTAGAGGAGGTGTTTGGGTTAGAACCACTGTGTTGAAGTGCCCCAGCAAAGAACTTTTGGGCCAGCATATTATTATGCTGGTACATATTATTAGCTGTGGCATAGGCAGCCTGGATCCCGATCTGCCTCCTCTGTCTGTGAGCATAAACCTAAATGAGCTGGGACTGCTAAGTGGTTTGCTTTGCCACTTGCAGAGATGTTTCTCCTTGATTAAAACCTTCTGGGACCAGCAAGGTCCTTGTCTTAGTGCTTGACCATGTGGGGTAAAGCCTGGAGGAGCTCTGGCATGAGGCAGATGCATCCAAGGATGGTGGTGGTCCTGAGGGGCGCGGGCCCTGAGCAGCACTGGGCTCCCAGATGGATGGGCACTCCTGAGCTTCCTTCCTGCTCATGTTCTGGGACTGGGTGCTGGCCCCACACAGCCTCCAGGGAGCTGGGACTCCTGCAGCCTCATCTGCAACCAGAGGCTGGAAAGCCACCCTGGGGCCTCACTATGGCATTGCAAAAACAGGTTTAGAAATAAAGAAAGATGTAAATTATGGACATGAGCCTTCATTTCACCCGCAGGCTTCCTCCTGACTTAAATTATTTTTCCTTTTCTTTTATTAACAACACAGTGGGTGTTTGGGGAGGACACTGTCTCTCATGCATTCAGTTTAATGGCAGATACATGCTGGCAGATGAGTGAAAGGTGTTTTAGTGTCCACAATCCTGATTTTTGAATCAGTTGTTCACCAAGAATACCCTCAGTGTGCACATTGCTCACCAAAGCCGGGAGAGGGCTGCGCACACGGTGCAGAAATCATCTTTTTGTACAAAGAAATCCAGCTGCCACTCTTACACATAGGGGAAGAAAGGCAGGAGCCCAGACTGGAAAGCAGTATTTTTCTTTCCTCTCCACTAGGACATTTGCAGCAAGCTGAATTCTTCTGAGAGGTCAAGGGATTTCTGTAGCACTGAGTGAGTGCAGCCCAAGAGGCCTGGCATTTGTGTTTGCATTTGCATTTTAATTTGCATGTACATTTGCATTTACTTTCTCACGGCAGGGCTGTGTGTGAGAGCAGGCAATTCCACAACCAGAGTTTTTACAGTTGCTGTTACACTCTGAGCATCCCTCCCCACAAAATTCCAGTGCAGATGTCCCTGACACCATCCTCTCTGGATCTCCCCAGACACTGAGGATGGGCAGAACATTATTCATCCCTCAAACTAGACAAGAGATGTGAGTGTAAGCAAGGCTTCTTTCCTGGGTCTCCCACTGTGGGGTGGGGGGGTGTGTGTGTGTATGTGTGCAATCAATATCCCCCCAGAAGCAGCATGGACTGGGCAGCCTGGGCTAGTCAGGTAGGTTTCATTAGATATGAGGACGGAATTCTTTACTGTGAGGGTGGTGAGGGACTGAAATAGATTGCCCAGAGAAGCTGTGGGTGCTCCATCCCTGGAAGTGCTCAAGGCCAGGCTGGACTGAGGCGCTGAGTCGATGTTTAATGCTGCATTGCCTAAATCTCCTTCCATCTCCCCGGGAGCCAGCATTTCTCTGCAGCAAGGTCAGCACGGGGGTTCCTCTGCTATGCAGAGCAGAGACAGGGTTTCCCCACGGTGCAGTGACAAGGAGGACTGTAGGAGCTCTGCTGCAGGCGGGTTTGTGAGGGCACCTGTTGGGATAAAGCTTGCACGGAAGGAGCAGGGCCATAACAAAGCACCACAGGAAGCCATGCAAAACAACCACATTTTTCACTGTTTCTGTTCCTCGTCTTGTAATCGAGGTGTCCTTTCTTTTAAAATCATTTGCTTTTCAGCCCCTTTGCACCAATGAATCTAATCCATGTATTGGCTTTGGTGCAGTTACTCTTGATTTACACCGTCAGAAGGGAGAGGAGAAGCCGGCATCGTGTCCAGTCATATTAATCCACTTACCCCATACAGGAATCACCTTTTAACCTTGCCCCAAAGCACATGCCCCTAAGCCATAATTCACCTGTGCTCACAGCAAGCTGCCAGATGCTAATGGCTGTGTACAGGCCAGGTGGGATTTGTTGACATATGCATATATCACTTACAACTGTGTTTTACATGCCTAGGAAGTGCACACTCATCAGGCTGTGCCTAGGGCTGGCCTCTGCATTGAGCCTTGCTGGCTGTGCATTACCTTCCCTGTACTTGAGCCTCACGCTCTGCCTGCCTTGCCAAGGCCCCTCACCTGTCTCATGTCTCACATGGGACATTCCCCAGGGCTCTCTCTCAGCTGTGAAGGGTCTTTCTGGCTGTTATAGATACATATTATATTGTTGGCTTTTTGCAAATAATAAAATGAATGTTAGATGCATAAGGTTAGAAAACTTTGTTATATTAATATAGTTCCTCCTATTTCTGTTATTGATGAAACTTAGAAATACTAGTATAATATACATATATGTTGAGCTATGACATATTATTAAAACAAAAGCTACTTTTGTTTGTATAACCCAAAGACTGAAAAAGATAGTTAGAGATGCCCCTCCATTCTTAGATTATCTTGTCCAGATGAGGACAGCAGTGACCAGAGCTCTGGGGGAGGAATTTACTGCATTTCTGTTATCAGAGAATGGAAAACTTGGTGGAGCCAAGAAGATTGATTTATTGAGAAGGGAGCGAGTCAAAAACTAAACAAAGAAACATCCAAAACTTAAGAAGATTGTTTGAATCATGTATGAGAATTTATGAATATGTAGTAGGACTCTGTTTTTAAGGGACAATCCTTTGTTAGTAAGGGGTGCTCTCTTGGCTGAATGCAGAGACACCTGGCCGTATCTGTATACTTTGCTTTATTTTTACCTCCTAATTGTCTTTCTATTAAACTTTTAAATGCTATAAAATATATGTGAACTTTGTTTTTCACATGGCTCAGAAGAGTGATTTGTGGGCAGCAGTTGTCTCTGGTTGAGAGATAACTCCCAGGCCTTCCTCTGGGAAATGCCCAGCTTCTGGTCTGCATTACAGCAAATCCTGAGATGTTCCCTGTCACCACAGCGCCTGGGTTCAAAGCACCTCTGGACCTGCACCCCAAAATTTTCCAGGGGAGCAGTAGAGCAGTTTGAGGTAAAATGATGGCAAGAGCTGGGTGACCTGTGCAGAAAACTCTGTGAAGTGGGGCAGGGGCTGAGTGATGGGAAACCAACAGAGATGCTGTAAAGTGCCTCCACTCTGTTCAGATTTCATCATTTGTCACATGCTCAGCTAACAGGGGCTTGGATGGGAGCATGTGAAAGGTACATTTCTAGGACACCTACATACTGCTGACATGCACCTATGAGATATTAGATTATTCTTCAGAGGAAACCATGTTTGCTAAAAAAAACTTATGGCTAACCTGATGGTGGGCACAGAAATAGAGGAAGTTTCTCTTATGTGGGAAGCATTTCCCTTCCAGTCAATCCTTTCCTTGCACTTTCTGTCCCAAACGTTGGGTTTTGTGCTGTGAGACAATTGATGTCTCCACACAGAGCATGGCTCCACGTGGCTGCAGCAAAACTTCATGCAAGAGCTTTGGTGGCCACCCTGTATTATTATTACTACTGAAGAAGATGGGGAGGTCAGAGAATAATGTCCCCAGCCTTGCAGTTCTCCCCATGGCCAAGTCAAATTTGGAAACATAGATACCATATGGAGTTCCCTACCACTGTCCATGGGAGAACAGCTTCTCTTTTTGTGGCACTGGCTGAAAGTAGGGATCTATATGGAGCAGAAGCACAGCAGGACACTAGTGCCTCTGTCTGTAGGAAGGTGGGCTCTTCCTATCCACAAGCCCTTGAAAAGCTGGTATGACAAGCACAAGAGCAATGTGACTAAGGAGTGTGACTAAGTATAGGAGTGTGACTAAGTAGGCAAGCCACTGGCCTGGGAACTGGATTTTTATAAGACTTTCCCATTGACTATGTGGGCAAGCCACTCTTCCCTGCTGTGCCTTTATTTGAGTATGTGTCAAAGGAGGGCAATAATTCTTACCAACATGTGCAAAGCCCTTCTAAAACAGCTAGGAAAAAAAGAACAATATGATAGAAAACCACATATTATTACAATCAATATTTTTTTGTTGCAAGCACCAAATAAACAGCAGCACAGAAGTTTCAAGCCCTGAGAGGGTAAGAAAAATGTTGTCTTTCTCCTTTCTAGTACCCTGGCTTGTTTAATCTTGTCTTGTTGCATGCTATGAAGAGCAGTGCTCCTGGCTTCTCAGCACACTTGGAATAAATGGCTTTTATGGCTATCAATAGCTTCAGTGCTCCTCAGCATTTAATTACCTGCAAAGGCCATTTATTGCCTCATATATTCCTCTACCATGATCATTATCCTTTAAACAATAAATAAAACATTAAGGTCACTCTTAAAGAGGGAGCAGAGCCATCCAGCCACAACAAAGTATAATATTAAAAGTTTATATGGTCTTTGGGGCTTTCGGATTGATGGCAGAGCCTGCAGTACAGCTGAGAAGGGCTGGGATGTCAATCCTTCCTTCCTTCCTTCCTTCCTTCCTTCCTTCCTTCCTTCCTTCCTTCCTTCCTTCCTTCCTTCCTT